GGCGCCGACAGACACCACCCCGTGGAGATCAAGACGGAGAAGTAAAGTGGCCACTCGGGCTTCCGGGGCGCGGAGGGGCAGCGCTGCCGGGCCGGCTCGGCTTCCCCCACCTCGGCACCCTCCCGGGTGCACGCAGCTCTCGTTTTCCGTTTCGGCGGCTGTGGGAAGCTGGGCTTGTGTGGGCCCCGACACGGCTGCGGTGGCCCTGCGCTGGGTGCGCCTCGGAGTCGTGCGTGGGCGCAGCAGTCTGAGGGCTCTCTATAGCGGGGATTTCTGTCTCGCGTGAACCGTCAGCGGGCGCGGATCTCTGAGCAGGCGTGGCGCGGGCACGGGCCAGGGTGGGTGGCGGAGGGCAGGCCGGGGAGCCGGCAGCATCGCTGGCTTCCTCCCCCGCCTCCCCGGCACTGCGGGAGCCGGCGGCCCGGCCGAGTCCGGCAGCGTCGTGGTGGTTCTGTTTTGCTCCTGGTTTTTGTTGTAAGATTGACGTTGTGCAGGCAGACCGGCAGGGAAAGGGAGGAGCGGGGAGAGCTCTCTGCTGGGCGGAGCTCCCGGCCAGGTGTCCCGTGTGCGTGGCGGGGCCCACGGCCTCGAGCAGCACCTGCGCCCTCCGGAGGATGCTGGCACCCCAAGCAGGGTGGCAGCTGCCGGGCGGGGGGCCGAGAGCAGCGCTTCCCTGTTCTCGCTGTGGCCATGCTCGGGCAGAGCCCCGGAGGAGCGAGCGCGCAGTGGGCCTTCGTGCGCCCGGGGGTGAGACCCTGTTCGGGGAGCAGCCTCTCAGAGCTGATGAGCCGGCCCCGTCTGCGGGGAGCACGGGGCTGCGGTGGGCACGTGGCGTGCGCTGGCTCCCGGCTGAGCAGTGAGGCGGGGGTGGGGGGGGTGAGCTTTGTGTGGAGCAGGAAGCGGTGCAGAGCGTGCGGGCGCCTGGCCCTGTGTGCGCCGGTGCTGGCTCCTGGGGGCGTGTGTGGGGGGGGGGTAAGCGTTTAGGACCCAGCCACATACAGCTGGAGTGCTCTGACATTGCCCCCTCCTCCTTCCTCTCCCACCTCTGGGCGAGTAAACACCCTCGCCCACCTCTGCTCGCACCTTAAGGATTCTGCGAGTCAGCTGTCCACTTCTTTCCAAACAAGCAACTTTTTTTTTTTTTTTTTTTTTTTTTAAGATTTATTTATTTGAAAGGCAGAGTTACACAGAGGAGAGGCAGAGAGAGAGGTCTTCCTTCTGCTGGTTCACTCCCCAGATGGCCACAACGGCCAGAGTTGTGCCGATCTGAAGCCAGGAGCCAGGGGCTTCTTCTGGTCTCCCATGGGGTGCAGGGCCCAAGCACTTGGGCCATCCTCCACTGTTTTCCCAGGCCACAGCAGAGAGCTGGCCTGGAAGAGGAGCAGCCGGGACTCAAACCAGCGCCCATAGGGGATGCCGGTACTGTAGGCAGCGGCTTTACCTGCTACACCACAGCACCAGCCCCTAGATTTATTTTTAATATTAATTTTTATCTGCAAGGCAGAGTACAGAGAAAGAGAGCTTCCGTCGGCTGGTTCGCTCCCCACACAGCCAGGGCTAAGCCAGGCTGACCCCAGGAGCTAGAAACTCCATCTGCGGCTCCCACGTGGGTGGCAGGAGTCCACGCACCGAGCCCTCACCGCTGTCTGCAGGCCTGTTAGCAGGGAGCTGGCTGCGGAGGGGAGGAGCTGGGACCGGGGCTTTAACCCGCTGCACCGCAGCGCCCACCCCTCCGTGCAGCTCTTGCTGTGTAACCGGCTGAGAGCGCCTTGTCGGTGGGAGCCCCTGGGGCAGCGCACAACCATGGTGGGGCGGGGCAGGGCCGCACCCAGTGCTGCCTCGGGCTGTCCTGAGACGCCTTACCCAACACGCTTCCCCATGGCCCTGGCCGGTTGGGCTGTGCGTGGAAAGCCACAGGAGGTGGCCACCGAAGGGTCGACGGTGAAGTCAGGGCGCGCCACCATGGGGACGGGGACGAGGACGAGTGTTGGTGACTGCACCTGCGTCTGTGACGTCAGAACATAGAACGGTTGGGGTGGCGCTGCGGCGCAGCGGGTTGAAGCCCCAGGTGCCTTTCGGCTGCTGCACTTCCCATCCAGCTCCCTGCTAACGCGCCTGGGAAGCCGCGGAGGCCGGCCCGTGTGGGAGACTGGAAGGAAGCTTCTGGCTCCTTGTGGAGTGAACCCGCGGACGGAGGATCCCCTGTCTCTGGTCTCTCCCTCTCTGCAACTCTTTCAAATACAATAAGTCTTTAAAGAAAGAAGGACTTCACGGGGAGCTGCTCAGGCCCCTCAGGGTGCCCGCCGTCCGTTAGTGCGTGCGGGCTTCCGGGGCTTTCCAGACGATGTCCATTTTTGGGAAACACCTTCGTGCTGGGGAGCGGAGGTGGAAAGAGAGCTGAGGGGTCTGCGGCGCGGCCGGCCTGCCTGCGGCGGCTGGGAGAAGCCGGGGGCCCTCGTCCCACGGGGCCTCCGGCCGCCTTCCCTGGCTCGCGACTGGCGTCTAATAATTGTGCACTTTAATTGCCTGAGACGACAGCTTCAGGGGACGTGGGACGATCTGTGGCTAAGACGATTTGTTTCGTGTTGAAAGTCGCCTTTGGTGGAGGTGATACCGACGGCCCCGTGTTTGCCGTCGCGTGGCACGCTGTTGAAGTCCCCAGAGGCGGGCACGTGCCCGCCTGTCCTCGGACCCTCCATTCTGTGTGCTGTGTCCCCTGTGCGCAGACGCGACCACACGCACTGAGTGTGAACGCACACCACGCTGCCCTCTCCAGGCTGCAGAATAAGTGTTGCCCCGGGTGCGGCCCGTGGGGTGCCGTGGGGACCTCGGTGCCCGCCGTCCCTGTGAGGCCCGCGGCGAGCGCGTGTTGTAACTGTGTTTACACAGAACCATCATTAAGAAGGAGGAGAAAGTTGAGAAAAAAGAGGAAAAGAGGCCGGAAGACATCAAGAAAGAAGAGAGAGACCCAGACGAGCTGAAGGCTGGGCCTGCGAACCGCGGCAGGGCCACCAAGTCAGGTGACGAGAGCTCGCTGGGCAGAGCCGCGGGGCGGCGGGGGGGCGGGGGGGAGGCACAGACACGGGCCTGACTCCTGGCGGCAGCGTCTGGAAGTGCTGGGGCGGGCGCCGCAGCCTGCCGCTGGCCTTTCCCCCGTCCTGGGGTTGCAAGGGGGAGACGCCTGGCACCTTCCGGGTAACCTGCAGGCGTCTGTAGGTTTTCCTGCGCCGGTCTTGAAAGCTAGAAGTAGTAAAGGGAAGACCTCAGCACGTATCCCTTGAAGTAGCTGCGTTGGAGGAATGCCATTTCTCTCATCCTTTGAGGGTATTTGAAAAAAATTACTTATTTGAAAGGCAGGGTTACAGAGAGAAATCTTCCATTGCTGGTTCACTGCCCAGAGAGCCGCAACAGCTGGGGCTGGCCAATCCGAAGGCAGGAGCCAGGAGCTTCTTCCAGTCTCCCGCGTGGGTGCAGGGGCCCAAGCGCTTGGGCCATCTTCTGCTTTCTCAAGCCACAGCAGGGAGCTGGATCAGAAGTGGAGCAGCCGGGACTCGAACCGGCACCCGTGTGGGATGCCGGCATCGCAAATGGCTGCTTTACCCACTACACTACAGTGCTGGCCCCCTAAAAATTTTTACTTATTTGAGGGGCAGAGAGAGCGCCTACCTGCTGGCTCCCTCCGAATGTCTGTAAGGCCCAGTGCTGGGCCAAAGCCAGGAGTCAAGAGCCCAGTCTGTCTGAGTTTGCAGTGCGGGGGCAGGGACCAGATCCTCGGGCCGTCACCACCGCCTCCCAGGGTCTGCGTTAGCAGAAAGCTGGGGTCAGGAGCCGGGGGGGGGGGGGGACTGGAGGCCGAGCGCTCGGCGCGGCACGGGCATCTGAGCCGCGAGTCTCGGTGCCCAGGCTTCTGTCACTGGTTGCTCTCTGCACCATTGAGTTTGTGTGCGACTCAGTGTTTTGTGGCGAAAAACAAACCAGCCCTGCCCGCCCCCCAGGAAGAAGCAGACAAAAGCCAGCCATCTGGAGCATCGAGGCGGCGCCGCGCGCTGCGAGTTAGAACTGAAGTCGGTGGCGTCATTCTCCCGCCATCTCACGAGGAACGTGTTTCTAAATTGTTCCTCAATCTTGTAAATCTCCCCAAATAAGCCATTACTGCAGCGGTTAGCGCCTGGCTGGCACGTTGTCGGGCGGGAGAGAGGCTGTGGGTGGGTGCGGGGAAGCCCAGAGCGCGGCTCTGCGGAGCTTTGCGGCCTGCCCGGGAAGACACAGCTGGTTCTCCCGGGCTTGGCGGATTAGAGTAGGGGCGCAGGCAGGGCGCACTTGTGCACATGGCGGGGGACCCCTGCGGCCCCAGGGGACGCCGTCCGGTGGGAGCAGGTTGGCGCTGTGGCCCCAGCAGCTGCCCGTGTCAGTGCAGGGCTGCCTGGGCAGGAAGCTGGGGCCCCGGCGTGCCGTGGCGGATCCCCGTGTCTCTCCCTGAAGGGAGCAGAGGCCCGGAGCGCACGGTGGTCATGGATAAGTCGAAAGGCGAGCCCGTCATCAGCGTGAAGACCACCAGCAGGTCCAAGGAGAGAGTGAGTGCAACTGCCGCCCCGGCCTGGCCCGGCCCCAGTGTCCGCCGCTCGCTGCCCTGCGCGTCCGGGGCGCCCTGAGGGTCTCGGGATGGGCCTGTTGAGTGCTCACTGTGGACCTGTCCCGATCTCCCTTCTCGCGCGCTAACAAAGCCACCTTGTGAACAGAACTCCAAGAGTCAGGACCGCAAGTCCGAGAGCAAGGAGAAGAGGGACATCCTGTCTTTCGACAAGATCAAGGAGCAGAGGGAGCGCGAGCGCCAGCGCCAGCGCGAGCGGGAGGTCCGAGAGACCGAGCGGCGCCGGTGAGCCGGGTCCCACGCAGCCTGCCTGCCGCCACGGCCTCCCCCCCCCCCAAGCGGGCTCTGCCGCCTCTCCGAGTCCGCCGTGAAGGAGCCGGCTCGCCGGGGCTGGTCACCTCCACTCCCGTGTCCCCACCTGGTCCCTGCCACCTCCACTCCCGTGTCCCCACCTGGTCCCTGCCACCTCCACTCCCGTGTCCCCACCTGGTCCCTGCCACCTCCACCCCCGTGTCCCCACCTGGTCCCTGCCACCTCCACCCCCATGTCCCCACCTGGTCCCTGCCACCTCCACCCCCATGTCCCCACCTGGTCCCTGCCACCTCCACTCCCGCTATCCCCACCTGGTCCCTGCCACCTGCACTCCCCGTGTCCCCACCTGACTCCCGTGTCCCTACCTGGTCCCTGCCACCTGCACTCACCCGCTGTCCCCACCTGGTCCCTGCCACCTGCACTCCCGTGTCCCCACCTGGTCCCTGCCACCTCCACTCCCGTGTCCCCACCTGGTCCCTGCCACCTGCACTCCCGTGTCCCCACCTGGTCCCTGCCACCTCCACTCCCGTGTCCCCACCTGGTCCCTGCCACCTGCACTCCCGTGTCCCCACCTGGTCCCTGCCACCTCCACTCCCGTGTCCCCACCTGGTCCCTGCCACCTGCACTCCCGTGTCCCCACCTGGTCCCTGCCACCTCCACTCCATGTCCCCACCTGGTCCCTGCCACCTGCACTCCCGTGTCCCCACCTGGTCCCTGCCACCTGCACTCCCGTGTCCCCACCTGGTCCTGCCACCTGCACTCCCGTGTCCCCACCTGGTCCCTGTCACCTCCACTCCCGTGTCCCCACCTGGTCCCTGTCACCTCCACTCCCGTGTCCCCACCTGGTCCCTGTCACCTGCACTCCCGTGTCCCCACCTGGTCCCTGCCACCTGCACTCCCGTGTCCCCACCTGGTCCCTGTCACCTCCACTCCCGTGTCCCCACCTGGTCCCTGCCACCTCCACCCCCGTGTCCCCACCTGATCCCTGCCACCTGCACCCCCGTGTCCCCACCTGGTCCCTGTCACCTCCACTCCCGTGTCCCCACCTGGTCCCTGTCACCCTCCACTCCCGTGTCCCACCTGGTCCCTGTCACCTGCACTCCCATGTCCCCCACCTGGTCCCTGCCACCTGCACTCCCATGTCCCCACCTGGTCCCTGCCACCTCCACTCCCGTGTCCCCACCTGGTCCCTTGTGTTCCGGAGCTTTCCAAGCTATGGTGGGAGATGCTCGTGTCGCCCCTCCCCCTTGCGGTTTCAGGAGTAAGAGGCAGTGAGAAGCCTTCTCATGCCTTCTCACGCCTTCCCAGTGCCACCCGAGAACGCGAGGCCCGAAGGTGGCCGTGGGCCTGCTGCACCCTAGAGGCGGTCCGCAGCCCTACCTGGGCCTCGGCCCGCATCCCCGCGTCTTCAGGGGTAGCCGCGTTGCCACGCCTCGGCAGGGTGTGGGCCCGGAGTGTTCGCGATGTCAGGTTCTCAAGAGTTCATGGATGCAGCTAGCCCCCCACCCCCATCCCGCGTGAGATGAGATTTGGAAATCCACGCACACCAGGGTCTGCAGAAGGCCATAAAACTACCCAAATAAGCTCCCCTTGTTTGCAGTTGTATTTGAGAGCAGGGGCGCCCCCACCCCGCCCCTGGGCGGGGCAGCCAGAGTCGGGGTGCAGACTCCGTGCAGGTCCAGGTCCACGGCTGGGCACCCCAGCTGGCCCTGCGCCCTGGGGCCTCGGAGCGGGTCCCGTCGCTCTCCTCGCTACCCCGCGGGGCAGTCGGGAGGTGGGGCCGGGCCGGGTGTCTGCACTGCGGTCAAGGCGGCGTGCCGTCCCCGCAGGGAGCGCGAGCAGCGGGAGCGGGAGCAGCGGCTCGAGGCCCTGCACGAGCGCAAGGAGAAGGCGCGGCTGCAGCGGGAGCGCCTGCAGCTCCAGTGCCAGCGGCAGCGGCTGGAGCGCGAGCGCATGGAGCGGGAGCGGCTGGAGCGCGAGCGCATGCGCGTGGAGCGCGAGCGCCGGCGCGAGCAGGAGCGCATCCACCGCGAGCGCGAGGAGCTGCGGCGCCAGCAGGAGCAGCTGCGCTACGAGCAGGAGCGGCGGCCCGCGGCGCGGCGGCCCTACGACCTGGACGGCCGGTGGGTGGGGCCCGGTGGGGTGGGGCGGGGCTACGACCTGGACGGCCGGCGGGCGGGGAGGGGCGGGGCTACGACCTGGACAGCCGGGGGCGGGGCGGGGCCTGGGCCGGGAGCCTCATCGCTGTAGATGCGCTGGGTTGGCCCGCTCTCCTCCCCTCTGCTCAAGCCTCTGAGGGAGGCTGGGGGCCTGGGCCCGATGGGGGAACCTGGGCTGAGGCGGGACCGCGGTGTGCGCCCTGGCGTGTGCGGGCCACGGGCTGGTCAGAAGGCCAGTGTACCCTTAGGTAGAGCAACGTGGCCGAGCGCTCGAGCGTCTGGAAAGAGGCCCCCCGCCCCCTGCCCCTGCCCCCGCCCCATTCCCGTCCTGAGTGGGCGGGGCGTTCTCTTCACGAGCCAGGCGAGAGGACGCTTACTGGCTGGAGGGGAAGCGCGTGGCGCTGGAGGACAGGTACCGCGCCGACTTCCCCCGGCCGGAGCATCGCTTCCATGACTTCGACCACCGGGACCGGGGCCAGTACCAGGACCACGCGGCCGACAGGTCAGCGCCTCCCGCCTCCCGCGCCGTGAGCAGGCTGCTGGCCGGGGCTTGCAGGCAGCAGGCAGCCTCGGGCCACTGGGGAGTGTGTGAGCCTGGCCAGCGCTCACCGGGCACGTGCCCACGGCTGCCCACCTCCCTCGCAGCCCGAGCCCCTGCAGAGTCCTGGGCGGGCCGACTGGAGACGGAGACCCCCCTGCCCGCTGGGTTGCCTCGTCTGCCCTCCCGCCCCCTGCTGCCCCGGCTCGGTTCCGTCCTTGTCTTGGCGGGGCTCCTGTGGGTGGTGTCCTGAGCCCCGTGCCCGTCGCTGGCTCCTCCATGTGAGCCGTCAGGACGGAGAGAGCGGGGCGGGGGGGGCGAGCAGCTGTTGGAGGAGTTGTGGCGCGGGTGCTGGTGCGGTCGTGTTGATGGACGCCCGTCGGGGTCCCAGCGCTGGGCCTCGAGCCGGGAGCCGGCCGCCCCTCCCACACACCTCGTCCACGGGCGCAGAGCCAGGCCCGCCCACCAGCTTCACTCTTGCAGGAGGGAAAGCGCCAGGCCAGTGATGGGCGAGCGAGACGGGCAGGTGAGTGGGAGCCCGGGGCCGGGCCTCCGGTGGGGAGGAGGCAGGAGCGCGCAGGAGGCCGGCCCTCGCCTCTTGCCCGTGGGCGTGCAGGTCCCTGCGCTGCCGCTTGCCTGGGGGCTCCCGGTCGCAGTACTCGGGTGGCCCGTCAGGTGGCCCTGGGGACCGTCCCTCTGTCGGGAACAAGTCTGCAGAGGGAGGCGTGGCTCAAAGTGCTCTCGGCCCCGTCCCAAGTGAGCGCCCAGCAGCTGCCGGGGCGGGGCGGCCGAGCCGGGGCGGCCAGGGGGCTCCGGACGGCTGCACCTGCGTGCTGCCTAGGGCCTGGCCGGGAGCGGCTCGGTGAGCCTGGCCCTGCCCGCCTTGCAGCACTACCCAGAGGACCGCCACGGCCACGGCGGGCCCCCAGAGCGCCACAGCCGGGACTCGCGGGACGGCTGGGGGGGCTACAGCTCGGACAAGAGGATGAGCGAAGGCCGGGGGCTGCCGCCTCCCCCCAGGTAGGCGGGCGGGCGGGCGGGCCTGCTGCTGTGGAGGGGCAGGGGCAGGCCGTGCTGTCCCCGGTGCCTGCGGGAAGGGACGGTGGTGGCGGGCAGGGTCTGCGTGGCCCCAGGGTGCACACTCACTTGCCATGGTTACCTCGCACGGCACGGGGGAGATCCACTTAGCCTGGGCCAGCGCTGCGCCGGAGCGGCTAGCCGCCGCACCCCGTCTAGGCACCAGGTCAGGTCCCGGCGGCTCCGCTTCTGGTCCAGCTCCCTGCTAATGGCCTGGGGAAGGCAGCGGAGGACGGCCCGAGTGTCGGAGCCCTGGCCGCCCACGTTGGAGATCTGCGTGGCTCAGGCCTCCTGGTGCCCAGGCAGCGCTGGCTCATGGTTTGGTTCCAGCTGCCGCCGGCCAGGGCTGGCGTGCTGACCGCTGGTGTCCGGAGGTGCGGCCCCCGGCTGGGTGCACCACGCCGCCCATGGGCGCGCCCAGCAGCCGTGCGCCTGCTCTGTTGGCACAGGGGCGGCCGGGACTGGGGCGAGCACCACCAGCGACTGCAGGAGCCCCCGGCACGCGCCTGGCAGGGCGGCGCGGACGAGGGCGTGCCCGCGCGGGAGCACGCCAGGTGGCCAGGTACTGTGGGGGGCGGCCCCCGCCGCGCAGGGCTCCCCGGGAGCAGAGCAGAGCGTGTGCCAATGCCACCCTCCCCGCAGGTGCCGAGAGAGGCCTGACGGGGCCCTCGGGGCCCGCGCACGCGAGTCGGGGCGGAGCGGCGGGGTAAGGAGTGGGGCGCCCCGCGGGCCTGGGGCGCGGCGGGGGCGGGGCTTTGCACCTGCTGGAGACAGCGCGTGCCTCTGTCCTAGGCGAGGCGGCTTCCCGCAAGGCGGGCACTCCCAGGGCCACGTGGTGCCCGGGGGCGGACTGGACGGCGGCGGAGTGGCCGGCCAGGACCGGGGCAGCAGAGTCCCGCACCCACACCCGCACCCGCACCCGCACCCGTACCCCCACTTCACCCGCCGCTACTGACGGCGCGCACGGCGCGGGCTCAGGTAGGCGGCGCCTGTCGCACGGTCCAGGTTACCCGGAACTGTGGGGTCTTCTGCCGACGCCTTGTAGCTCCAGACAATGTGAACTCCCTTCTTTTTCTTTCTTTTTTAAATAAATTTGTTTTCCTTCTGCCATTTTTAAGACGAGGTTTCTGTTAAGGAGGCATTCCGTTTTCCGTGAATAAAAGTTTATGGTTTGCACTCGGCTGGTGGGTCTGTGCATAGCACGGGGCTGCCTCCAGGGGGCGCCTCCGCTGGCGGCGAGGGGCCGCAGGTGTGTGCGGGTGGCACCCGTGTAGACGCGCGGCGGCGCCGGCCCTGGGCGCTGTCACCTGTGCAGGTGGCCGCTGGCTGGGGCCGGGCTCCGCCGGGGCCGTCCCAAGGGTGGAGCTCGGGTGGGGGCGCTGTGCCCGTCTCCTGCCCGCGCGGTGGTGCGGCCCCTCGGGCAGGACGGGCACCGGGCGCCCTCCCGTCGCCGCCGGGGTGCACAGCCCTGCTGGGCCGGCAGGGGGCGCCGGGTCCCGCGGAGGTGGCCGCGGCTCCATTCTCCGCGCGGCTGCCCTGGCGGGTAGGACCGCGCCTTCCACCTTCCACCGGTTCTGACCTGCAGTTGTTGCTCTGTGTTGTCTGAAAGAGAAGCTCACCCTCAAATGCCGCCGCAGCCCGGAGCCGGGAACCCCAGTCTGGGCCTCCCCCCCCGGGGGCCGCCTCCCAGGACCTGCGTCCGCACGGAGGGCACTGCGGCGGGGGGTGGGGCATCCGGCCACGCCCCGCACCCCCCACTTGCTTTCCTTTCCTTAAAGATGGCGGGTCGGACCGGCACAGCCCTCCACCCCGCGGTGTGGGATGCTGGTGCTGGAGGCAGCGTACCCCCCCCCAGGGGGGGCACAGGGCGTCTCCGGAGTCCCAGCATGCACCTGCAGGACCGGGACTGGCGGGGACGGGAGAAAAGACCCCCGTGTCCTCCCGGCCCCACCCCCCGGCCCGGAGTCCCCGCCCGGCAGTAAGTCCTCCGGGAGCCGCGCCCACGCGGGGCCCTTCCGCCCACGGAGGCCGGCTCTGTCCCGTCGGGGGGGGGGGGCTGTCTCCCCTGCAGAGCGTGGGGGGAGGGGGCAGCGGCCCTCCGGGGCCCACCAGCCGGCTGCTCCCGGGGGCCGAGCGCGAGACCCTTTCCTCCCAAACTTGCCGGCCTGGGGCCCGCCTCTGCCCGGCTCGGCGGTGCGGATTTGCTGTTCCGTGACGGAGCGCGGGCTGGCCGCGGCTCCTCTTGGTCAGGGAGAAGCTTCCGCCCGCCGGTCTGGGTCACTCCCCAGACACTGCACCAGCCAGGGCTGGGCCAGGCGGGAGAGCCTTGGCCGTCACCACCGGCTGTCACCGGCTGCCTCCCGGGGAGCGCGCAGATCCGGGGCGCGGCGGCCCGCGTGCCACAGCGCCGGCGCCTTGCCGCAGGGCCCCGTCCAGGCCCCTCGCAGCGCCCGCCTGGCTTGGAGATGCCGCCCTCCGCCTCCCTGCCGGCTGGCTGGACACCCGGCGGGTTCCAGAGTGACGTCATCTTGACCAGCCCCGTCGGCAAAGCCCAGGCACTGCACAGACCCGGCAACTCTGACTTGAGCCTAGGACTTAAAGGGGAGCGGCGGGGGCCTCCCCGGGGCGCATGGGCAGGGCCGGGCCGGCGCCTGTGTCTGGGTGCAGCGAGGTCCTGTTAGCCTTGGCTTTCCGGGTAGTGGGGAAGCAGCGGGGACAAATGTTTGTTAGGAAAAGGGGCCGCTCGCTGGCGGCGCTGGGGATGTGGGAAGTGCGGGCGGGGGCGGTGGGGGGGCTGCATGTTCCCCCCAGCGGTGGGCGAGGGCGCCCTTGGGGGGAGACCCGGATGGAGCGCCTGGCCCAGCCCCGGCCGTTTCAGCCATCTGGGGAGTGAGGCGTGGGACGGAAGCTCTCCGTCATTCTGCGTGTCGAGTAGATGGAAATAAACATTAACAAGGAAAGACCCCAGGGCCGACCCCGTGGCGCCGGCATCCCACGTGGGCGCCAGTTCGAGTCCCGGCTGCTCCACTTCCGGTCCAGCTCTGCTGTGGCCTGGCAGAGCAGTGGACGATGACCCAAGTGCTTGGGCCCCTGCACCCGCGTGGGAGACCCGGATGGAGCTCCTGGCTTCAGCCTGGCCCAGCCCTGGCCGTCATGGCCATTTGAGGAGTGGACCAGTGGGTAGAAGATTGTCTCTCTGCCTTCCAAATATATATAAAATATACTTTTTTATCAAAAGGAAAAAAAAAGTTACTGGGCGATGTGGAAAGGGAGACAGCAGCGGCAACAGGTGGGCGCAGAGCCCCGGGCGGGGTCGCGCTGCTGGGCCCCTCCCCGCAGTGCCCGCCAGGTGGCGCGCCGGAGTCCCGGGGAGGCTGCGGGAGCGTGCGGGTGCGGCGGGCGGGGCGTGTCTCGGAGCGTGCATGCCGTGCAGGTGCGCTGAAGCCGAAAGATGGCGGAGAAACAACCCCGAGCCTCTGGCGGCCTTTTTTTAAAAGTTCTGCTTTTCCACGAGTTTGCAGCAGGTTCCGTGTTTGCGGATAAACCGAGGCGCGGTGATGGTCCCCCTCCCCCTTTGCCCTCCCCCCTTTTTGTTGTTTGTGAGATAACTTTTTTAAGTTAAAGTTAGGATGACATTACAGTAAAAAAGCTTAATTCTTCCTAGAGTTTAAACAAGAAGTATAAGGACCCAGTTAGCGGGGATACAGCCAACGGCCATGAACGAGAATCAAATGCCTGGGAAAATGGGCATTTCGCCCACAGGCGTTGAACTTTATTTTTATTTGAAAGTAAGGGTTACAGAGAGAAAGAAGGAGAGGCAGAGGGAGGGAGGGAGGGAGGGAGAGAGAGGGAGGTCTTCCACTCGCTGGTTCACTCCCCAGATGGCCGCAAAGGCCGGAGCTGTGCCGATCCAAAGCCAGGAGCCAGGAGCTCCATCCGGGTCTCCCATGCGGGTGCAGGGCCCCAAACACTTGGGCCATCGTCCACTGCTTTCCCCGGCCACAGCAGAGAGCTGGACTGGAAGAGGAGCAACCTGGACTCGAACCCGCGCCCCTGTGGGATGCGGGCACTACTGGCGGCGGCTCCACCCGCTGCACCCCAGTGCAAAGTTTTACAAAACCATCTTTACAACACTGGTGCGCGGGGCGTTCCCTCCTTTCAGCCGCCACACAGAGGAGGGACAGCAGGTGCGGGAGCGGTCAGCGCGGTGCCCGGTCAGCGCGGTGTCCGGTCAGCAGGTGCGGGAGCCCCTCCTGCTCGCCCCTGACTGCGCGGCGGACCGCTTGTGCCCCGTCTTCAGGGTGAATCCCCGTCGTGGCGTTGCCGGGTCGCGTGGCCACTCTGCCGCGAGTGTAGACGAAGCCTGGGCGCGGGATAAGGCGGGCCTCACGCTCCCCCGGCCCGGGCGCCAGCGGGTGTCCACCCCGTCCCCGCGGGCCTGCAGGGCTGCCGGCGGCCGGGCCGGGGTCTCCGGAGCACGGCGGGTCCAGGGCTTTAACCCCGCCCACGTGAGTCTGGGGGAGCGCAGGCCCCTCCTCCGGCTCCCGCCCCGGACCTCCTGGAATCCGGGCGCCAGTCTCCGTGCCGGGGCCGCAGATGGGCGTCCCGCGGGCGGGGGCGGGCACGGGGCGGGGCTTGCGCGGCTGGGAGGGGCTGTGAGGCGCGGGGCGGGCAGGGGCGGAGCGCGGAGGGGGCGGGACTCGGCCTGGAGGCGGAGCTCAGGCCGCGGCATGGGCGGGGCCGGGCGGGGCGAGGAGGGGCGGGACTTGGCATGGGCGGGGCGGGGCTTGCGCGGGCGGCCGGCACGGGGAGGGGCGATGCCTGGAGGGCGGGGCTCGGGTGGGGCGGGGCTTGCGCGGCTGTGAGGGGCGGGCGGGGGCGGGGCTCGGGTGGGGCGGGGCTTGCCTGGCTGGGAGGGGCTGTGAGGCGCGGGGCGGGGCCGGGCGGGGCGCGGAGGGGGCGGGACTTGGCATGGGCGGGGCGGGGCTTGCGCGGGCGGCTGGCGCGGGGCGGGGCACGGGGAGGGGCGATGCCTGGAGGGCGGGGCTTGCGTGGCTGGGAGGGGCTGTGAGGCGCGGGGCGGGCAGGGGCAGGGCGCGGAGGGGGCGGGGCTTGCTCGGGCGGCCGGCGCGGGCCATGGAGGGGCTGAGGCGCGGGCTGCGGGGCTGCCGGCGCTACCGCATCCAGGTGCACCTGGCGGACGAGGCGCTGCTGCTGCGGCTGACGGTGCGGCCGCGGGACACGCTCAGCGACGTGCGCGCGCAGCTCGTGGGCCGCGGCGTGGGCTCCTGGCGGCGCAGCTTCTACTACAACGCGCGGCCGCTCGACGACCGGCTGACCGTGCGGGACGCGCGCCTGCGGGACGGCTCGGTGCTGCTGCTGGCGCGCGCCGCCGGGCAGGTGCGGCCGCTCGGACCCCTCCCTGTCCAACCCACCCCGCCCCGCCCCGTCCCGGCCCCCCACCCTGCCCCGCAGCTCGCTCGCTCGCTCGCTCTCTCTCTCTCTCTCTCTTGGTTTCCGTCTCTACCTTCCCGGCCTCCTCCCAGCCCCCCCTCCACGTCCCTGCTCTCCTGGGCTGTCCAGAGCGGCCCCCCATCCTGGTGACCCCCGGGGGAGGGTCTTCCAGCCCCAGGAAGTGGGCGGGGACTGCCGGCGTGGGGCAGGGGAGGGACTGGGGGCCGCGTTCCCCAGGCCCACCAAGCCTGGAATGACACTGTAAGGGCGGGAGCCTGAGCCGCCATACTGTGGCAGGAGGCTGGGCCGGGGCAGAGCTCTGGAAGGGGGTTTCAGGGGGGAGCCGGGACTGGGTCGGGGGGCGTCCTGGGGTTGGGGCTGACAGGCAGGCAGCCCTCAGGCTGGTGTACACCGTGAGCATTCATTAAGTGCCTGCTGTGTGCCAGGTGACCCAGAGAGGCCGGCGTCTGTGGTGTGGGGAGGAGACCGAGGTCCCGGCCCAGGCCGGCTGGTGACAGGCACCCGTCAGGGAGGCCTCGGGACGGTGACAGTCCCGGGTGTGCGGGGAGGGGGTCCCAGCCTGGTGCGTGGGAGGGGCGGCGCGAACCAGGCGGGGACGGGGCCCTCCCTGCGGGCACAGGGCGGCCGGGGGCGGGGGCCTCACCCTTCCCATCCGAGAAACGGGGAGAACACGTTTGCCCGGTCGGCCCACACGGCACCCTCGGGCGAGGCGCACTCGGCTCCCGCCCCCGCGCCCCGGCACTGCCTGTCTGGCCGTGGCCACGGAGCAGCGCGGGCGCCGGGGGATTCCCAGGTTGCAGGCAGGGAAACTGAGGCATGGGTGGGGCGGGCTTAGACCCAGAAGGGGAGGAGCTGGGACTTGAACTCCCAGCCTGTCTTCCCCACAGCAGCCTCGAGGGGGCGCCCGCGAGCACCTGGGTCAGGGCCTCCTTGGCTCCCGTCCCCCGGGGGGGAACAGCCCAGGCCTGCACCGGGCATACAGCAGGTGCTCAACAAGTGCTGGGTCAGTGCCGTGGCTGCCGGAGCTCCAGCCGGGCCTGGGGGCGGGAGGGGGTGCACCGTGCACCCAGGGGTCCCCGCGTTTGTCTTGCGACTGTGTCTTGCTGTCCACCCCTCCAGGTAGTCTGGGCTGGAGGAGGCGGAGCTGTGTTGGAGGGTCCCCCGGAGCTGGAAGGGACCCCCGGGGCTGGAGGGTCCCCCGGAGCTGGAGGGGACCCCCCAGAGCTGGAGGAGACCCCCGGAGCTGGAGGGGACCCCCAGAGCTGGAGGGGACCCCCGGAGCTGTGCTGGTGACGACCCCCGGAGCTGGAGGCGACCCCTGGGAGCCTGGAGCTCAGCCTGGGTAAGTTCCCCAGCACCCGGGATTGTGAGGTGCGTCACCTGCCCCGTTCCCCTGCGGCCCCCGGGGCGGGGACACGACCCCACCTCCTCCCTCCCCCTGGGCTCCCATGGAGGCCCTCAGCCCCGTGTGGCCTTGGGGATACCGCGCGCCCTCCCTGTCTGGGCTGGCAGTGGACAGAGCGCGACTCTTCCTGCAATTCCTGCGGCTGCCGCCAGGTGGCACCCGACAACCATGCTCACTGCCCTGCCGACTGAGCCCCTGCCCCCTGGGAGGGGGGAGCCTTGAGCCCTCCCGCAGTGCGCTTCCAGGGTCTCTCCCTCCCCTCCCCTCCCCTCCCCTCCCCTCCCCCTCCCCTCCCGTCTCTACCCTGCCCAGGACAGGACAGGACAGGGCACAACTCTTCCTGCAATTCCTGCGGCTGCCGCCAGGTGGCACCCGACAGCCACACTCATGGCCCCGGTGCTGCCCCAGGTGAGACGCTGGCCCAGCCGGCGGATGCCCACTGTCCGGGTCCCTGACACTGGCCTAGGATGGCCCGCACCTGCCCAGCCCAAGTGCAGGGGGTGGGGGTGGAGGAGCCCTGAGCCTCCCGCTGTACTTCTCTAGGGCGTCTCCGGGGTCCCCCCTCTCCCCTCCCCGCCCTGGACAGAGGGCAGCACAGGACACCGGACAGGACAGAGCCCCCGAAGCCCCGTCCTGGGCTCGGCTCAGCGCTGGCCCCTGCATGGCGGCCCCAGGGCCCCCTCTGTGGCAGGCCCCCTCCCGTTTCGCAGAGGCGCCCCCCGGGGGAGCCGAGGTCGTGGTCAGCGGTCCGAGGGCTGGCGGCGGGGGCGGGAGAGGCTTTCTTGGCTTCTGGCTGGGGGCGGGGAGGGAGAGAAAGCAGTTGGCAGGCAGTGTGACATTTAACAAACACCATGCAAATCGCATGCAAATCACATGCAAATCAGAACCCGCTTCGGCAGCCCCAACAGCGACAACGCTGGCTGTTGTGAAAGCAACGTGGGGCCTGCGGGGCCCCCCCGCTCCCTCCTTCTCCCCCCTCCACGCCCTCCCCCTGCCCCATCCCCCTCCTCCCACCCCCGCTCCCCCCCACCCCTGTCTTCCCCCCTCCCTCCTCCCAGGCCCCAGTCAAAGCTGGCAGCCAAGCGGCCTCAGCCCCCGGTTTCCGCGTCGAGAAGCTGAGGCCTGGGCCTGGCCGGCGCCCGGCAGCCACACCGCGGCCAGCGCTGCCTCCCATCACGTGGCCATGGACCAAGGAAGAGTGGGGGCAGGGTCTGCGCCTGGGCCTGGAGGCTGCTCCCACTGCCCAGCCCCGCCCCTCATCTCTGTCCACCTCCTGCTCCCCCACCAGCCCCACCGCGCACTGCCTGTGTTCGGCAAACTCCTGTCCACCTGCCAAAGCCCCGGTGTCAATGCCCCCTCCTTCCCACAGCTCCAGGAGCAGCTCCTGCGTTTCCCTGGGCTCCAGCCACTGCAGCGCACCCCCTCCCGCCTGGCCCCGACCCCCGGATCTGGGATGTGCTGTCTCCTCCCAGAGGCTCGGGGCCCCCACGCTGGGACCCGGCACAGAGGGGTGGCATGAGCAGGGTCTGAATAAACCCACGACTGTTTGATGCAACATCGTGTTCGCGCGTGGACAGCCGCCGCGGGGAGGAGCCCTGGACGCTGCACACCCCCGGGCCTTTGCACAGGCCGCCCCCTCCCCGCTCAGGCCGTCCCCACACGCCGCCCCGGCTCCCTGCGCATGCGCACCCTGGGAGGCATGTGCACCTGCTGCCCGCCTCGGAGCCCCGGATGGAGCTCTGGTGGGGGTGAGCGGGCGGACTGCAGCGCTCGCTGGCCGCCGCTGCCTCTCAGATGCGCAGACAGAACCGGCTCCGCGCCGCCACGCTGGACACGCGGCGACTGCGGCTTCCCCCGAGCCCGGCCACGCCCCTCTGCCCGCCGCCCTCCACGGCTCCCGCTGTCCTGGGGTGGAATCGGAACGCCGTGCCGAGCCCGGCAGAGCCCGGGGTCTGCCCCCTGCCCATTCAGCCCGACCTGGCCACCTGCTCGCGCCTCCCAGGTGGGCGGGGCCTCCGTGCCCCAAGCCACACCCCTCAAACCCCAACTCCAGCTCTGTCCCCGCCCCCAGGCCGGAGTGTCTGAGTCCAGCCCTGTCCCCAGTCCTCGCCGGAGGCCCCCCAAAGGCAGAGTCCGCAGGCTGGGTCGCCTCCGAAGCCCGCACCGCAGGGGCCGGGGGAGCCGTCAGGAGGATCCGTGAGGACCACACGAAGCGCCGCCCACAAGCCACAAGGTGCCGCCTGCCGGCGCTGCCTGCCTGGGCCTGGAAAACTCCTACCCAGGCGTGAAAACCCCAGCACGCATCCTGGTGCCCCTGGTCTCCCCTGGTGTCTGTGTCCAGCGCTGCCTCCTCACAGCCCCGGGGCGCACGCACCCCAGGGCCGGCAGGTGGGAGGCCCGGCCCTCGGAGTGAATGATGGCTTAGCGCCACGCGGCGACGCGGATGGCAGATTCAGTCCGTGAACTGAGTGTTGAATGTGGCAGGCGCTGCCCCGCCTGGCTGGCCTCACCTCCTGATTAAAGCTCAATTCCTGATGACTGAGTACTGGTGGCTGCCCCCCCACACCTGCCAGCCCCGCAGGGGGCCCCCCCGGGGAGGGGAAGCCTGCGCTTAGCCCCTCGGGGTTAATTACCCGGAGAAACGCAGATCTGCCTGTGTTTAGGAGAGGAGGCACTGTGTGCACCGGCGGCTTACACGCCGTTCTTAGCTCAGCTGCGTCTTTTTAAATAATCTTTATTTTATCTGAAAGGGAGAGAGCGGGACCCGCCTTCGTGGGACGGTGCCTCAGGGGGCCACGGGGGCTGCCGCTGCTCGCATTGCCCACGTCCCAAGCGGGAGCGCCCCCTGCAGGCCTGGCTCTGCTCTGCTCCCGAGCCAGCTCTCTGCGCATGCGCACCCTGGGAGGCCGCAGTGAGGGCCCCAATGCTTGTGCACCTGCCACCGTCCTGGGAGACCCGGATGGAGCGCCTGGTTCCTGGCTCCCGCCTGGCCCGGCCCTGGCCATGGCGCGCATTTCTGCACCCCCTGGAGTCCGAGGGCACAGCCAGGCGGATGTGGGGGTCCCCAGCGGCCCGAGCAGGGCAGGGGCAGGCTTGGTCTCGCTCTTTCTCTCACCGCACCCCTGCGCCCGTGACTGGGGACCCCCGCTCCTGCTGAGGGCTCGGTCCTCCGCCAGGCCGGGCAGCCCCTGGCCAACACGGGGGGCACTTGGATGTGGGGTACGGCGTCCAGAGCGAAGGACCCCCCTCCCCTCCGGAGGTGCCAACCTCACCCTTCGGCACCCTGGAGCTCCCGCCTCCCCCCAAGACACGGGCGAGCCCCGCCCCCGGCAGCGCCCCGCAGGTGCACCGCCCCACCGCCAGCCCCGTCCTCTGCCTGCGGCCCGGGGACAATGTCAGGGCCGCCGCCACAGCGGACACAGGGCCAGGCTCATGTCTAATTCATCCGGGGCTAATTATAGCCAGCCTAGGGGAGGGGCTTGATCGCCTCCCCGCTGCCGCCTGCCCGCCAGGGTGACCCGGAGGGGTGGGGGGACGCCGAGCGTCCTCCCAGGGTGCTCTGCGGCTGTCCACGCTGCTCCACGAAGGCGCAGGGCCAGGCGGGGCCGGCGGGAGGAGGCGCGGGGTTGCGGGTCAGGACACGGGGCGCCGTGCCGCAGGTGGGTACTGCAAGGCCAACGGACGAACGCCCAGCACCCCCTGACCTTGACCTCTGGAGCCCCCGGGGCCCCCGGCCACCGGCTCCCGCCCTCCCCACGCAGCAGGTCCCTGGGCGTGCATGGATCACCCCTGCGGGGCCACGCCTTAAGGTGTCCCCCAGACTCAGGCCAGACAGGAGCCCCTGGGACATCGCCCTGGATCCTTTGGGAGGCGCTGGCTTGCGCCCCGGAGGCCCACAGCAGCCCGCGCTGCGCCGGGAGCCCCACCTGCGCCCGAGCTCCAGCCGCCTTCACGGATTTCCCAGGAGCCTCAGCAGGGCGCTGGATGGGAAGCCGAGCAGCCGGACTCCCGGTGCCCACGTGGGCTGTGGCCTCCCAGGGCGTCTTCACCAGCGAGGCCACATCTTAACCAGAGCCGCCCAGAGCGCTGCCCATGCCCTGACCGCTCCGCAGCTCCGTATGGTGGGACGGGGGGGCGGCCCATTCTACAGGTGGGGAAACTGAGGCAGAGGGGCGGGGACAGCTCGCTCAGGGTCCCACAGCTGCTGTCGGCTCTACCTCCTTGTTCCTCTGCCCAGGCTCCATCTGACCCACCCCAGCCGGACCCTGCCCCGTCATGATCCCACCCACCGGCCTGGCCCCACCCCATCATGGCCTCACCCCTACCCTGGCCCCACCTCCCATAATGGCCGCACCCCCAAGCCTAGCCACAACCCCTGGCCACACCCCTACCCTGACTGCCTCTCCCAGCATGGCCCCAAACCGCCCCCACCTGGCCACATTCATCATGTCCCCACCCCCAGCCTAGCCACACCTCCACCCTGGCCACACCCCTCCCCTGACCCCACCTCCCATCATGGCCACACCCCAAGCCTACCCACACCTCCACCCTGGCCACACCTCGACCATGGCTCCATCTCCCATCATGGCCCCACCCTCTCCTGGCCCTACTCCATCGTGGCCACACCCCCAAGCCTAGCCACACCCCTACCCTGACGGCACCCCACCCCACCACCTCCCGCCCTGGCCACACCCCTACTCTGGCCCCACCTCCAATCATGGCCACGCCCCCTGCCTGGCCCCGCCCCTGCCTCGCACCCCAGTCCTCCCTCAGGCGTGGGCGGCTGTGGCTTCCGTGGGTGGCGCTGCTCCACGCACTCCTCAGTGGACAGGAGGGAGCCGGCCCTGGGTGACCCCGCCGTGCGCGCTCTAGTGGACAGGAGGGAGCCGGCCCTGGGTGACGCTGCACGCGTCCGTCTCTCGGTGTCCCCGTCGGCTGCAGCCAGGGGCAGCGATGACCTCACCTGCAGCCACGACCAGCAGAGCGCGTGGCGAATGAATAAAACATGGACCCGAGCCCCGCCTGGCATGCAGCAGGTGCTCAATGCGGGCCCGCAGGGCAGCAAAGTCCCGACGGCAGGCGGGGGCGGGGATCCAACACCCGGCGCCGCCTGGGCACGGGCCGGGGGCCACTGGACTGGGGACGGCGGGGCGCGGGGTTGCGGGGCGCGGGCCAGCGTTTCCATGGCGGCCCGGCGGGAGGCGGCCGGGCGCCCTTAGGAGCGGTGGCTAAGAATAGCCCGCGCGTGCTCCCGCACCGCAGCGCCCGCCCCAGCGCCTCTGGCCCCAGGGTCCTCCCCAGGGGTCAGCCCGCCCCTCCCGGCGCCCCCGCAGCCCTCCACGGCTCCACTCTTCCCTGCAGGTGCGGGCCGGGCCCCCGCGGCCTTCCCTGCAGGTGCGGGCCGGGACCCCCGCGGCCTTCCCTGCAGGTGCAGGCCGGGACCCCTGCGGCCGGCCGGTGGCCTCTTTGCACACCCCCACCCCCCGCCTCTTAGCCTTTTGAGTTTTATTTGGAAAGACGGGGCTGGGGGCGGGACCCTCCATCCCCTGGTTCACTCCCCAAGTGCCTGCACCGGCCAGGCCTGGGCCAGGGGGAAGCCGGAAGCTGGCCTCGCCCCCGCCCCCCAGGGTGCACTTCGGGGAGGTGGGCCGTGGGGGTCTTGAGCTCCGGCTGAGCACCCCGCCTCGCTGTGCTGTTCCTAACGGAAACAGGGCAACCACGGAGTGACGGCTGCAGGAAGGTGCCCTCGTCCCTGTCCCCTGGCAGCCCCGGCCCATCTCGAGGGCCGGAGTCTTCCCCGTGACCCCCAGCGGGATCTGCCCCCCACCCACATCGCCCTGGCTGCCCGGGGCCCTGCTCGGGGCTGTTGCGCCTGCGGTGCCGCCAAACCATAGGGGCGCAGGTTCGAGTCCCGGTGGCTCCCTGCTAGTGCCCCTGAGAAAGCAATGCCATTGCCCATGGCAAAGAGACAGTGTCCTCCCGCGGCTGACCCCTCTCTCCACCCTCCCCGGCCCTCGCCTCTGTCCTCAGGCCAGGGGTGGGTTGGGGGGAGGCACCTGAAATCCAGGTTGACCTAAGCGGCCCCCCATCACCCCAGGCACGGTGCCCCGTTCCTTCGCCGCTGCGTCACGGTGGAGCTCGGACTGCCGGTCCCAGCGCCAGCTTCCTGCTAACGCGCCTGGGAGGCAGCGGTGAGGGCCCCCCCACCCCACCCCCGCCCTGGCGCCCACGCGAGAAACCAGGCCTAGTTTGGGGCTCCTGGGCATTGGGGGCGGGAGCCTGCGGGAGGGAGCTGGGGTTGGCAGCCCGCTCGCGGATTCTCCCTCCCCCTCCCTGGCGCCCCCCACCCCCTGCGCTGCGCCC